CCTACATAGAGAGTTGGTCTGGAAAAAAAACAGGAACTGTTAGAAAGAAGCAGGCAAGCAGATGCTTTCCCATCTTAGCTAAAACCTTGGCAACATAATCCTGCAGAACTAATGCCTGAGTTTCTCAAATCACCAATATTTGTATCTTGGAACGCCTGGCTGTGTAAAATTAAGTACTGCTGCTCTATGAAGCCACTCTTTTTAATTATGAAAGCATTATTAGTTGATTATTCATGTTACAATTACTCATTTGACATCATTCATGTCCTGTTCCTGCATTAATCAAGAACTTGTATTTGCCAAAATGTTGTGCACCTTTTTTATCATGTGAAAGGCCCACATTATAAGAAACTACTCAACACAGAATGTCTGAAAATATTTATCAATAGGTGTATGATAGATTTTGTGTGTCTGTATTTAGATAGTAAAATATCAAATACTATATCAAATAATGGCTGAGAACTAGAGCTGCTGTTAAGTATTCTCTGCACCATCTTGAAACTTGCAGAACAATCCTTCACTGTGTGTATATAAATAAGGTTTTAATGACAAGGGTGTGTCAAGTAGACAGAACAACAGGAATATTGATGCTCACGTCAGTTTGCTCTTGGTCTCTGTTTCCTTTGGGAAAGGGTATTTCCACTTGGTAATGTGTCCAACCTCCCCAGACATGAAGGTGAGGTACCGCAGGGTCTCTATCCCCACGTTGGTGTGCAGAACCTTCCGCAGCCCCTCGCGCTGCCAGATGTAAAAAGCCACCACTGGGGACGCGTAGTTCTGGATCCACAGCACATCCCCGGACTCGCTGTCCACGGTCACCACCAGGCCATCTCCATTGGACACAAAATGGGACATTTCTACAACACAGAGAGAGAGGAGATACCTGAAGTGCTGCAGACATGCCCTTTCAGTAACACACATCATCACACCCTGCACTGAAAGAACAGCTGACCAGGCCATCAGGGTGAAGGTGACAGAAGTCCAGTTGTGAAGCAGCAGCACTTCTGAGCATGTCCCACAGCTCAGGTTTGCCTCCTCTCTTGCCTTTTGTCACTGAATTATAAGGAGTCGTATCTTCAAGAGCTGCACCTTCCTAGATTCAGTTTACCTAAAGCTACCTAACAGGCACTAGGTATTATGGCACATAAAGGATAAAACCTGGGACATGAACATCAACTGCACAGAAACCAGTTTGACCTATTAATTATACAAAAAAATCCAGAGGATTTTTGTCTGTTTGCAAAACCCATGGCCAATATGTGGGACAAAAAAAAAGATACAGCAATTAAATTCTTACTGTATTTGATGTCTTCATCTGGCAGAGTAGCTGCATAGTCAAAGTAGGTGGCATTCCATCGCAGCTCCTTCTTCTTGGTGTCATACATTGTGATTGTGTACTCTGTTAAAAAATACACAGTCTGTGAAGCAAAAAAACCTATGAGAGAATAGAATCAATCATTTCAAATCTGAGAGACTCTTTGAAGTGCCACACACCCCAGTTACTGCTCTCTGCATTTAACTTGCCCAGCACTCCTGGTAGTTAAACATTTCAGAGCTGTTAAAAATACTACCACTGATCTGCAGGAACACTGAAACAAGCCCTGCAGACATGGGCTGCCCACCTCACCAGATCCTGCTTTTCCTCCACAGCCTCTTCTGCTGTACTTGGTTTTATGCACAAGTTTCCAAACTCTGCATTCTAAAATTCAGCATTCCCTGTTCTGAGCCTGAACAATCACACAAATTATCAAACAAATTAGCATGGAGGCTAAAGAACAAGTCTAGAACACTCATCCATCTTTACTAGTCAACAGCTCTAAGGTATTGGTCTAAATTGAACAGGTATTTAGAATATTGTGTTTGTTATTTCAGTGGACAGGCTCTACCTCTGTTTTCTTTAAGCAGTTTTATAAAAGCTGAGAGTTACTGAGCAAACCTGGGCTCACAGCTGCCACTGCAATGCACTCTTAAATAGAATATAAATGCCACTTAGCCAACAAGAACTACCGCAGGGTGTTGGACCTTTAAAGGTCCCTCCCAACCCAAACTATTCTATGGTTCTATAGTTTACTGCCAAAGCTTAAAATCCCCAGTATCTTTCTGCTGCAATAAAAAGTTAATTTTTCTGGGCACAGACTAAAATCATAACTTACAGAAGTTTTTCTAACTTGAAAACCTGATCACAAGGTAATTTGTTATGATACTAAACTTCAAAATGACATCAAATTTTCTTCTAAGCTGTAGAAAAAAAATTGTATGACCTGTTCTCCCAAGATACAGGAGGGATGTTGATGGGCAAAGACTTTCTGCAAATGAGGAGGTCAAGGTTTGCTGTTTCTCCCCAGTCATGAGGTCAATCACGTACCAAATATCCTGCTTTTTACCTGAAATCATAATTTAAGCCACATTACGATTCAGCTGGAAAACTAGAGTTCCAATCAAGCTTTTCAGTCTTTTTTCTTTAGTAGGCCCGTGAACTTAGCAGGAATAAAGCATTTTTAATAACACAATTTCTCACAGTCATGCTCAGTTGCATCATTTAGCACTACTGGCCAACTCCAAAAATTGACAATTAAAACTAAATACAATATTTAGAATGGTAAGAACTATAGGCTGAATTGTTTTTTCACATTGATAAACCTAACAGAGTTCTGAGTGTAGCAGCTCCTGTGAGCTAGCAGAAGGGGAGACTGAAGGGCTAATGTGGAAGGACAGTAGGTGGAAAAAAATTAGGATGGTCCACACATTTCAAATTGATTAAAACTTGTCATCCTGACATCCCAATTAAGACTATGTCAGCCATGACGGTAACTATTTCTTTGACACCAACACATCTGTGTTCTGTTCAGAAGCTTCAGATAAACATTTTTCACTCCTTTTTTGAAAAGACAAAGTAGAGAATCAGAAGTAGGTATTGGCCCTTCAGAAGATTAAAACACCAAGTTCATCCTGATCCTTCACATGTTTTGCTGTTATGATAAGTAGTAACTGTCCTTCCTTCTCCCTTTCTCCTCCCAAATCCCTCTGCAATCAGAAGGAGTCAGGACAGTGAGCCATAACTTTGTTATTATTTCTAGTATAAATGAACTGACTGTACCTCAGATAATGGAGGATGTCTATGTTGCAATGAAATTTCTAATTTAATTCTAATTGTCAGCAGTCGATGACATATATAAGCATAAGATTTTAAGTAGAAGTCACTTTTTGTTGAAAGATAGCGTCTCAAGAAACCAAAAAACCCCATACAGGCTATTCACTGCTTATAAAAGCCATTTTCTCCTTCAGGACAAGTAGTTGATTTTTAATCTTCAAGCAGTAATTAAATTATTTATTAATAATATTTTATGTAATCAGAAAGGTTCATGAAACATCATAATTAATGACCAAAATAAAGTGTATTTCCATGCAGTCTGTCTGGGAGTCTCTGCATTTTCTGGTTGCTGAACACATGACAATATGAGATTAAATAGGAGCTCACCCATGTAGAGGATCCCATCTGAACTGCGACAGGGAGATGCCTGCACCAGCTCTGGGATTGTAAATGGAAGTTTCTAGGGGGGAAAAAAACAACAATGAAACCTTATTCACTTTGGTGTTAGAGCCCTCACCTTTGTGATTCTAAACAGAAATTGAATAAATGCAAAAAGAGAGGAGTTTAATAGAATTAATTGATTAAAATATATTGCTGCTTCCTGAATTCACCCAGGAAAAGAACCACAAATAATTTAGGAAGTTATGATCTGAGGTGAAAGGGGGTGGTGAGTAAATACTTAAATATTTAACAATATTTAAGTTCTTAAGGGAAATCATAGGAGCTGCCAGAGCAGAGAAACTTTTGTCTGAGTTTCACCACAAAGTTTAAAAATAAAAATCAGATGTTAGCTAGTATCTGTGGGTGACATGGATTGGTGACTATTTTGAAAAGGTTCAGCATTTTTGTCTGCTTAAAAAATCTTACAAAGACACCTTCTAAAGGTGTCAGCACAGAACACACTCCTGTCTTTGGAAGAACATAGATTAAACCCGCCTTTGGTTTTATAAAATTAAGTATTTGGGAGAAAGTGACTGATTTGCATTATTCCAGGTACACCTTTCCCATCCAATTGTACAGAGATTATTCAGTATTTGGATAATACCACACAGATTTTATTATAATAATTATATGCTATATATTATAATAATTATAATACGTAATTGTTATATATATAAAACATATAGTTATATAAATCATCCTAACTATTTTAGCAAGCTACAGAAAAACAGCACAAGGGGACAAAACCCCTGTACTGTGGGGTGTGTACACACAAGCCTGCAAAACTTTACAGTACTGTCAAGAAAGCAGAAAGTTTTCGTGGGGACTTATCCCTGGTGTCAATCTGATTAGGGAACATTTTTTAATTATTAGAGGAGACAATTTTTTAAATATCCTTACAGTCAAGCCTTCACTGTTCTTGCCACCCAGCGTATACAAACTGCCATCATTTGGGTCAGGAAGAAATGCTGGCCTAGGATGAAAGCAGCAATTATAAATGATTAAAAATCTACTGTGCTTCTCAGAGAACTGGGTCTGACTGTGATCAGTCCTGACTTTACAGATAAGTTCATCTCACGTTAAATTTTTTACTTTGTATTATCAACTTTTTAAAGTTTCATTTATTAACTGTGAAAATGAAAAACATAAAAAGGATTCAGAACTAGTATAACATAAAATTAGTAATACATTTGAAAATTAAAAGATCCAAATGTGGCAGGCAACCACTTGGGTCAGAAGTTTTAAACATCATCTCTATCCTTTGAAAGTGCTAGAGAATTATAAGCATATCAAATACACAAAAACATAAGGAAGGCAAGAAACCATAAAAAAGTTGCCAGAACTAAGTAAATTTGAGAGGTAAAGGCAGCCCCCATCCAAGCTATGAAAAAACCCACAAAAACCCCAACATCAAAAACAAACCACAAAAAAGAAAGGATGTTACCACTGACTTCAGAGGCATAAAAGTTAAAGCCCCAAATTTTCTAGTTAAATGTGAGATTGCTGTGCTAGGGGAACAGCTCTGAAGTAACAAGGTTTTATTTGAAGATTCTGGTCATGGTGGCTGGGGTTTCCTACCCTTCACTATTTTTAGTCTTTTATTTGAAGTGAATGAGTAGTACAAAACCCAGAGCCCCCTCCCTAGCTGTTCCTATCCTTTTCAAAGCTGCTCAGTTAAGATCCTGGCACAGCCAGCATGTTTGATCTCTAAACCTGAGCAACAGCTTGAGAGAACAGTCTGAGACAGGACATTTTTTTCTTAGTGCTACAGATAAAAGAATTATATGTAGCTAATTATATACTTACTGTATCTACTCTCTAAACCACCTCAAACTGACTTACACAAGGTATGCAACTTCTCCTAACGCAAATAGTTTTGTTTCAAATTAATCCCAATTTCCAGATGTCAGTGAAATTAAACAAGCAGTAAATGAGATAAAGGAAACAGACTTACTCTTCCACATGAATTGGCACCTGGAGCACAGGATCTGCAGAAGCAGAAAAAGAAGTCATAATACTGGCAGTTCAATTCCTTTACCTCACTGGATACAGGATTAAGTCAGGCCTTCAACACGTGCTCCTTTTTCCAAGGCTGATGCATGGAGTTTGAACGGGGCCACCTCAACAGCCTCAAACGACCTCCTGTTTGGTGAAGATTTGTAGGATGGCAAAGTACAAAGTACCTGAGAAGTCTGAAACCTGAAGTTCTTTGCTCAAGTTTTACCCATGCAACTCTCCAGCCAACCCTGGGAGGAGACTCAGAGAATACAGTAGCACCCTACTGCACCTTGAGCTTTCTCCTTATTCCTCACTTGGTTGGGGCAGACAGTCTGGTAGAACTGCCTCTGTACACGGAAATAAAAACTCTTGCTCTCAAGATGTGTGTGATTGGAGCGCACTGGCTGCCCAGGGGCAGCTGACTATAACTTGCAGCAAATGCTGCCACTCTGCAGGCTTCTACAACCACTTTTACTTAAAAACAAGCTGCGGCTACTGGCAGTGTGCAGACTGCGAGAACCAGCACAGAAGTAGGTGCCTTGATATTTTTTAATCTGCATTTTATGAACTTTTGCAACTTTGTGTGTCAGGCACCTTTGTGTATCAGGCAGGTGAGCATGTGCTTTCTAGTGAACTCAACATGCAATTTAAAATGCAACATGCAAACTAAAAGTCTAGTGCTACACCAGTTGCAGTGAAGGGGAAGCCTGCCAGTGACTTCAGAGCAAGACTCTGACTCAAGGCAGGAAAAACTTAGTTCCACTTCCTATTCCAAGGTAAAACCTCCGTGGTCAGCACATCACTGAAAAGAAAAAAACAGAAGTCTGACAAGGGCCATGTAAAATTACCTCAAACCTGTTTTTTTTACTTAAATAATCTCCCCACCAAAATTAATCCAAGAATCCACATTGCATAAAAATTAAAATCTCACAGTAGTTGGTATGTTGAGTGACCAGAATCACAGTTTAGCTTTCATCAGCAAAAAGAAGATGCAAAACAGAAACTTACAATGCTAAATCTAAATACTTATGTATGAAAAGGTAAATTAAGAACAGTACTTTGGTTTTAATGTAAGGTGAGGTGATCTCAAAATTACTGAGGCCTCAAAAAATCTGGAATCACAGGATTTTCAATCCTGATGACAAAACCATGAAGTTCCCAGATTTGTATGACATTTCCAAGACAATTTCCAAGACAGACGTTGTTCTTATTTATGGGTATATTGGCAGAAAGTGACTCAGAAGTAAAGAGGATGCAAGGTGTCCTCATTTCTGCAGAGGAAATCAAATTGTTACACTAGAATAAGCCTGAGTAAGGAGATGAAAGATGAGAAAGCAAATAAATACTGTTTTTTCACCTGTTCTGTCTCCATGCAAACATTATGATGCATTAGGAAGGAAATAAGAAAAATGCCAAGATTTTTACTGGGAATCTGTCATAGATTCTGGACAGCTTGAGTGCACTGTGATATTTGCAGAGTTAAGCAAGATAATAACTAGAAATTCAGGGCTCATTACATGGGTCTTACAAAGTCTCTACAACTCTGCATTATGTTGTAATATGTTGGGTTTGGTGAGAACAGCCTAGGAGCTTAGTTTCTATATAAAAGATTAAATAAGAGCCCCCCCACCTGAATAGATCCCAGCAGCAAAGCAGCTGAACACAGTCACCCTCACAAATCCCTCTGATGCAGGGACCCAGCAGAGCTGTGTGGGCTCTGGACGGTCCCACCAGGGGGCTCAGACCTGGCTGACCCGTGGCACCACACACCAGGCAGCAGAGCTGCTGAGGTGATTTAGCCCGTGCTCTGACCAGCCCCAGGCACTGACCTGGAGTCAGAGAAGATGGAGAGCAAGAGCTCTTGTCTGTGGTAATTCTTCTCTCAATGATGAACTATCACCATTAGCCCTGTTCACTGATGTAAGATGGGAATACCAACTAAGTGCAGAGCTCCATGTTCTATCATGAACTCCTTTTAATTTAGTGAGAATCCAAGCAGACATCAAAAGGCCCTAAGAATAATGAAGATTCAAACAAAAGAGCTAAGTGATTCATCATTATGTATCTGTCTCTACAGACCACACTGCTTAGTCAGACCTTTATTCCATTAACTAAGTCATCAAGCAACTCATTTCTATCCCTTGTGTGAATAAACTGGTTTCAGGATATGCTGGGAGGGACTGCCCTGCTCCAAACTTAAGAGTTGATTACATGCAAATTATTTCTCAGTGTTTGCTTCAAGTATTCCATAAGCATCTTCAAGTATCCTTTGTGATACCTAATGCAACATTAGAGACCACAGCCTAGACAGTCTTTATAATCATAAATGCTTCACGGGAAGGGAAACTCTCATAGCTTTGTGAAGGAAACAGTATCATAAATCATAAACAGTATCATAAATCAGCAGAAAATGGCACCTGCCTCAGCTGAAGTAAGGTTTAAAGCCAAATAAACTTGACAAGTCTCTTGATGAACTGATTACATTCTCTCTTGTTAAAAAATAAATAGCAACAGTAATCTTCACCAACAGTGCTTGATGAACTTTGCCCTACCTACAAACATCTCCACCTCAAATGAGCATTACTGATAACAAAGCTGCACAACTTGTTTTTGAAGTGGTTGAGTGCATAGATATGTTTAAGTAGAGTAATGCAGATTCTCCTTAAAATTGCTTTCTAGTCAGCCTAAGCAAAGCATAAAGAAAATAATTTCTTGTCCAAATTGTATTCACAAAGTTTTACATTTCATTTTAATAAAAGGACTAGTTATTCTCTGAATCAAATGGAGGTGTGCAGTTGTTATATGACACCACAGTATATAACTAGTACTATATCCAGCTGCACTGCTCCTGACATAACACACACTACAGCAGGACAGGAGAGAATGCCATTTCCTCAAACATATTAGTATTTCAACGTGTTTTGGGTTTTTTTTTTAAATTCTCAGGAAAACCTCAACAATGACAGGAAACTTCAAAAGATAGATTATGTTTTCTAGCAACTGATCCTGGTTTGTCATGACATTTGCAGGATAGTCTGGTTAGTAATGCTTTCCTAAAGCTCCTTCTCTGCCCCCAAAATACGGTGAATAACAATAACAGAGCACAGGATTTGTGGACTAATAACTTGATTTCACTTAGTTTTCTAAGGGCAATCTACTTTTATAAAAAACACTCTGCTTCAACTACCTCATAGGTCTGAGAAAGTGTTGCATTACTTTACTGACCACAAAATAACACATATATATAGAATGCAATATTCACTGGCATTAAGGTTTTACTCCCAAGCTTGTATTTCTAAAAGCTGTTAGGAAAATGTCACTTACTACAATCTCATCAACAAATATATCCTACACTTTAGTAAACAAGGCCAGAAATCCCATGGAAGTGCCTTCAACTTCTATGGTGAGTTTTTCCGAAGCACTCTCACTCTTGCCTATCAGAAGACATGAATAAAAGCCTAATGACAAGTTCCAAACTGTTCAGGCTGTGCTGTACAGAAGCATCATGCTTCTGAGGAAGTCCTGGAACTTTTCTTTTGTATCATGTTTTCAGTATCAAGAACAACAGTGTTTCATCAGATGTGAAAAAAAAACCCCTCCTTTTACTTGTTTTCTCAGTCACTGAAATCTGATTTACTAACAATGATAAGAAAGAGGTAGATGGAACAGATTAAGATGTTATTAAAAAGCAGCAGGATTTTTTTTTAGTACTTACTGGCACATGAACCAAAACATTGATTAATTCTGATGGCTTCCTGCAACATTCAAGTGTTGTATATGAACAGTGAGAAAGTATTTAGTACCAATATCTGATTTGTTTCCACATGAGGCTATTCACAATAAGGAATAGAGGAGTTTTCTGAATTGAAAGGAATTCTCCTTTCACTACAAGCACCATCCAACTACAAAGACAGGCAGTGGAGAGCCATTTCTCTATATTTTTAGCCACTGGCATAATGTAAATTTTCTCGTTCTCTAACACTTTCATGATCTTAAACTAAGGTTGTAGCTTTGTGAAGATATTTTGAAGACAATGAACTCTGCACATTCACTTTCATGTGGTTTGGGACACATTCCAACTTCATTTCGAAGTTTGTTTTGAAATAAGAACTCATTCTGAGATAAAAAGAGAATATTGAGTTTAATTTATTGCTGTCAGGTGCTAAAATAGTTTTCATATGCTTGAATACAGACCAGTAACAGAATTAGTTGTCTAACAACTGAAGCCACTTTTTGCTCCACAGGGGGTCAAACGGAAAAAGTCCTTGCAAAAGTCAGAGAACTGACTTGTCTCCTCCTTGTCTCCTCCTCAACAGCTTAGCACCCAAGTCCTAACATGCTGAGCCTGGAATCACGTAATTCTGCTTTCAAAACTTCTCTGAACTGCAATTCCCTGTAATTGGGTAAGTCATTCTAATAGGTCTGATCTGTTTCAGTGCCAACAGTGATAACCACTGACCAAAGCAGTAAGTATTCTCTATTGGAACAAAAACTTCAGAGAGAAAATGTGATAAAACTGTGATATAAATACATTGGCCTCTCCCTTAAGCTTCCAATCCCTGTGGCAGAGTAAAATCCAGCTTCCTGCAATGCCCTACATAAATATTTTGGTATGATCCTGTCCAAAAGCTTTCCACTTTCTAGAGTAAAAAAACAAAGACACAAAACCAGCCCTGGGGTATGTGAGGGTGAGGATGTGTTAAGAAGCAGGACACTGCCCTGTCAATATTAAAAAGACTGCTGACACCTCTCCTTGTCATTGTGGGACTTCAAAAATGTTATCCTGTAAGAACTGAAAGGTTAATAAAAGGATTTGTAAAATAACTGTGACAAGAAAAAGAGAAGCGAAAGGACATTGATCCTAGATTATAAAGATCTATTCTAGAACTCTAAGAGTTTATTCACAAGTACAGCAGTTATTAGAAACCTGTTAACACAATGACTGTCCAGTAATTTAGTAATTATTTGGTTCAGTCATGCTTCCCTGAAATTAACTTTCTGACCTGGCAGCAGGCAGATGTCCCAGTACAGTTTTGGTTGCATGAGCGCCAGAAAATATTTCTGCCTGTATCACTCGCTTCTGAGTTGGCAGAAGTTTATTCTGAAACAATTCTAACTGATATTTTGCATACTTATGTGGAAAAAAGTCATATATAATTTTTGAAACTACAACCATAACACTAAATATGCCTTAGCTCCATATTTCACAGACACATGATAAGATAAAATTTGCCCCTTGACAAAAAACCAAGTCTTTTTTAATGCACAGGATGGAGTTGCAGATTTTTGTGACTGCCATGTGCCCTTAGATAGAACATAAAAAAACAATGACTGAAAAGAAGAAGTGGGAGATTCTGAAACAGTGCATGAGTAACTCACTGCCCCAATGGAATGAGCTGGAAAAAACGGTTTCCTGACCTGAGGCCCCACCATGATTCGGGCTAACGGGCCAATTTAACATCTTGTCATCCTCTCCTGCTGTTGCAATGACACCAACTGAAGTTAGAGATCCTACTAAACTATCCTCTGGAAATTGCTGAAGAGAGTACTGTTCTACAGTCATTTTGTTTTGACAACCCCAAGTATCTTGCTAGCAGGAAGTGCAGAAAAGATGGGAGCTTATCCCAATGTCACATAGAATGGTCAGCTCCTTTAATTGACCAGAGATGGCACTAAGAGCCTGATTAAGTCTCTGGACCATAAGCATTCAGTATTCACAAGTATTCAGTACTCATAAGCATAAGGACTCATAAGACTAAGGAGAACCAAGTATTCAGACTGCCCTTCTTGCCAGCACTACATGAAGGCAGGAAACCCAAACATATTACTGTAGTGATAACCACTGGCTCATTTATTCTGCATACCCAAGATAAACTTCAGTGGTAAATTAAAACAAACCACACAGGGCAAGATTTTCATGTTTGTTTAAGCACTGCCTGATAATGAACACCACCTTGTCTTTTTTTCCCCAATGAAAATAAAATGTGTATGAATTACCCTTTGTTAAAGACCTTACTGCTTAAGTGCAGTAATAAAACCTTCTCTTCCTAATAAATGCCTCTGCAGCACTTCAGGTGAACACACAACTTTTCAAAACACAGAAACTACAACACATGGCTCATTGTCTGGTGGTCAGGGTGAAATGGCAGCTGCAAGAACACTGCTTGCTACACAAGCAGCTTCCCACCGGGTGATACTCTATAACAGAAGTGAAAGAGTGCACCCAACTACCGTGCTTATACATTGATACTGAATTCTGCACTATTAGGTCTCTCCAGAGATTTAGCACAGCAAGATGGTAAGGACTTTCACAGGCCATTAGTTTCCAAAACTGCTGCATCCTTGTTGAGCTTCCCACCCACAGGGAGACCACCTATAAACACTGTTTTGTGAAAAGATATAAACCCCCTCCAATTACAAATTAATTGGCCGATTTATACATACAGGCACTGGTTCCACGTACACTTTAAGTTTACTCATGAAGCACCTTATTACAATGAAAACTACAATTTTATTTTTTTCATTGACCCTTGTGTGTTCTTCTATTCCACAGAAATAAACTAACAGCAATAAATGCTTTGCAAAAGATGCCAAATAATACAATTAGTGACAGTAAGAAAGTCCAATAAAACTAGATTATCCAGACTGGCAGTTCCAGTGTACCAAGAGTGGTTTTGCAGATTTTTTTTTAAACAAGGAAAGCTCCTTGAGAAATACACCCTGACCAGGATCCTTTTCATTACCAAAGTGCCCTTATTTCTTCCTCAAAAAGCCTCCTGCTGCTTACTAAATATGACTGCAAACAAATGCCAGTTATAAGACCCTTCTAGGATGGGACTAACTCATGCATGTTCATGTCAGCTGAATGACCAGGAAAGACCATTAAGCTTTTCTTAACACCACAGGAGCCTACAGCAACAAGAAAGGAGGAAGCTGATAACTGATTTTTATTCAGCACATTCAGGGAAAGGAGATGCCTCAATTTAAAGAGGAGATATAGGAGAAAATGTAATCACACTGATTAACAAAGACCCCTGAAGAAAATACTTGCTCACCCCTTTTTACTGCAAGAGGAGCTACAAAAGCATTCTTTTCTCACTTATGAAGTTAAATTTTTGTCTGGCAGATTTGCATTCAAACATTAATGGTTTCACAAATAAGAATAACTGGTTTGTACTGCAGACATCAGATATGCACAATCCATTTCCTAGCATTTCAGCTCACCCACTAAACTGAGATCAGGTTTAAAAATAGAGGACAGAATGATGCAATCACTGTGACTCCTTTCCATTTGACCTGCTTTCTCATTTCTTTCCTGAAACGAAGAGAAAGTGCTACTACCACTTCTACCATACATAATCAGAGTTCCACTAAAACTGATCTGTATTAAATACTGAATTTTTAATGAAGACAGGAAGAGTCTCTCTGGTCAGCAGTTAAAATTACAACATCACTTCCAGTCCCTGAGCAATGTTACCTTTAATTAAGTGCAGGTTTCTTATTTAAAATCAGTGTTGTTCCTAAACATCTATTATAGAAAAATGACCCAAGGTTTCCACAACACCCACTGCATCAAGGAATGTAGGGTATCCCAAAGCTAGAATCATGCAAAACCTTTGCACCAGTTCCACCAGCTGACATGCTCATTTGACATCTTTGCTGTTCTGTGATTGGTTATAAGATGAATACAACTCCAGAAACACTACAGCTTAATTCTGGAGCAAGAGCCAAAATAAAGAAGGAAATAAAGTATTTACCAGGCCCTACAGCAGTTTGAATTACCAACTGCCTGTTACTACTGTTCCTGAGAAGAGGCCATCAGAACACCTCCTGCTCACCTTCTTTTAAAGTCCACTTGATTGCTCCCGTCCTCTTGCTGACAGCATGCAAACTCCCATCAAGAGTTGAAACAAACAACAGTGTTTCTGGTACAGTTACTGAGCTGGTGCTCTGGAAAAGAGAAACCCATACACTGAATGTCATTATTTACTACAGAGTTTACTCCTAACTGTAATATAGTTAATTGTCTAGAACACCATACTTCTTTCAATTGCACAGACTGAACAACATTCTTGTCCCTTTGAATTCAGTGATTTTTTTTTAATTATTTTTTTTTCCTGTCACTGCTATGGAACTGCTCACTGTGCAAAGGTCCCCTAGAGACAAACTGGGAGATGCTTTAATCAAATAATATATTTGCAACTCATCCTCCATTTTTAACTTGATATCAAAGCCTCCTTGTCCTAGAGTTAAGATGAACCAGCGCCAGAGCTGATCTAGGAGAGAATTGATACAAACTCTATGCAATAAAATAGCTAGGGGAAGGAACTTCAAAGCAGCTCACAAAACCTAAGTGTTAATGTCAAAGCCATGCTACTACCAAATAAATAGAACACACTTTTGCCAAGGTTTATTACCCTAGAGATGAAAAGATACTGGCTGGGTAGAACGTGGATAAATAAACTGAAAGGTGATCAATATTCTACAGGGCTGACTGTGGCTGAGAAACAGGCTGGAGCTGCCATATGCGCTGCCTCTGAGCAAGGGCAAGATATTTAGGATAGTTGCAGCTTAAAGGCTAGAGGAGATCCATACTGTTAAGCCTCTTTATTGTGTTTTTATACCTCATGCCTTCAAATACTGTATTTCTGCAGTAGACAGTAAACACCACTGTTTAAGAAAGCCCATACATATTACTACATTCACAGATACCTCCTAACAAGCAGAGCTGCAGGATTTAAACCTAAATTTGACATTCTGATCATTCTGCCACTAGGGACACCTGACCCCTCTGTTTGGTGCCTGCTGTTATTCCTACAGCACAAGCAGCTTTTGAGTCTGGCTACTGCAGAGTATGTGATTTTATTAAAAGGGGATCATATGAACATGGAGAACTCAGAACTGTGCAGTTACTGTGGGAACAGCAAGGCTAAAACCAAGGTGTTTCATCACTTAAAGCAAAAAAACATGTTAATTTCATGTCTACACTTCTCTTCCTGCCTAAAGATGATCCTGTACATCCCACAATTGATCCATCCCCATTGCCAAGTCTCAAGTTCTTACTCATGCAGTTTGTCATTTGCAGATTGTATCTGCACTGCTCATCTGGGTGCCACCTGCCACCTTTAGGAAGTTTCACAGTTAAATATAATTCTTAACCTACCACAGCTTGTGAAATGAAACTGTATGCATTTAGCATTATTAATAATGTCTTAAAGGCCTTGAATTGTAAAAAAAAAATAATCCAATAATCTTAGGATTATTGCAAAGCAAAATACATATTAAAATGCATGGACATAGGAGTAACTTTCTTTGGAAAAGTATGCACTTTTAGTGCAACTCAACTAAAGTGTTAGACTTTCGGGTGAAGTATAAAGCTAAAAGAATAATATAATAAAATAGTAACTAGCCAACTTTCAGGTCATATCTACAAATATGATACATGCTTCTTTCCAGTCATAAGGAAAACAGCTGGAGCAGACAGTGCAGAAGTAAAGTACAAGTCAACAATATACAAACCATAGATCAGAAATAACTGCTGGAGGGCCAGAAAAAAAAAATCTATCTTAATACATAAATACTATTTTAATTATCTGATGTAGTTAAATTATGCAGGCTGCACAAACACCTGCACTTTGGAATGCTCTGAGCTTACCAAATGGAAACAAAACTAAACAAAAAACACAAAGCAAAGACACTGAATGAATATTCCAGCTCTGAATTTCGACCAATTGCACAAACAAACCATGCCTGTCAGGTTAACTGCATTCAGTTAACTATCACCTCAACTGCCAGAGGTTGCCCAACATCAGACAGGTAGCTATTTCAAGTGCATACTGCATATCTGTGTCTTAGAGTTCTTACTCACTTTTGACAAGCACATTTCAGCTTTCTCAGAGCAAACAAGTGTGTATTTTCACTGCAGCTGTACTCATGAAAAATTCCTATTCCAGAAAAGGTAATTATTCGACCATCAGATTATTATTATTATTAGGCAATATTCAGTGCAGTAATGTATAGGGTGTAAATCCTGTACATTATACACCAAGGGGAACACAAGAAATACCTGTTTCTCCATGAAGACCTATTTACTCTAGACTTGTGCCATGACCAAAAACATTTAATTTAAAAGACTGGGATGATTCTCTCTGCTCTTCTATCAAAAAAGATACATCAAAAACATCCATTATCAAAGCCAATCACTTTAGTTAATAAATACAGTGAAACTGCATCTAGAACTAAACACAGTAAATTGAGCAAGAACATCCAACTGTTAAGGGTGGGAAGTGAAAATGACTGAAGTTCCTTTAAGTTGCAGGTGGGAATTTGACACCCAGAATGTAATTACCAGTGTTGAAATTTAGTTGCAAATAAAATATAACATAGAGCAAATCCACTTATTCTATGTATATAGACTAAGATTACTTTTCTAGACTACTTCTTACTCTCTGCACAAGTTTTTATCTTTTATCTCCCTATCTTACAGAATCAACGTTCTCCACAAAGCATGTTCTCTTCCTGTCCTTTTATTGAGAAATGAAAAAAAATGGTGTATCATTGTCACAGAAAATATGCCTGTAAATTAACGACCATGAGTATAGTTAGGTATCAAATATCAGTAATATACAGCATATGGAACACTTAGTGTAGATCTGTAGATCTAACATGTTTATATTTAACAGCTGAGTATTTGTTGTGGCACCAAGGCTGTAGAAACTACGGATTTATATGTGAGCTCTGAAACTCTCATTAAAACATCAGTAACCCGTACTGGCCTTCAGATTACTGGAAGGCTGCTAGTACCTGGGATCAAATAGAAAGTACTAATGTACAGCAAGTTCCTCTGCATGTTCTGCAGTTACAGGAGCAAAGGGACTTTTCTGAACATCCACCCTCCAGTTCACTTACAAGCTGAACACTAAAGACAGAAAATCAAAGCTAAAAACACTATTCACACGAGTTGAAAACCAGATGAACACCTGAATGTTGCCCACAGGCAGAACGACCTAGAAATTTCTCAGATATGACTAAGATAATGAAATTACAAGGGCTAGTATGGCTATTTTTAAGCTTTTCAAGGCAGTACCCTTGGTTTGGGGGAAGAAATGCCACTCTGATGTACCATTCTTATGGTGCCTGTCACTCTGTGGTTACCAGGGAGATGTGAACTCTTCCTGGGACAGCAAGTGCTTATGGCAAAGCACCAAAGGGACAGAAGGGGACATCACCCTGGAAGGCTGTTGGGCCTAACACCTTCTTTTCAGAGGGGTCTGGGCCCATTTCTGCTCACCAAGGAGTGTCCCTGGGAGGGAAACCAGCACAGAGGCACATGGATTTCACTGACAAAAGGACTGGGCCACAATCTTCCACTCACTCATACTTTTCAAAGCACATGATATCATGCAGTTGAGATTACCCAGCTGAGTAATACACTGATGCTGCTGAAGCTTATGACCTAAATTTAAAAAATAATGAGGCCATAGGCTTTGCAATGCAATATTGCTAATTAACTTCGACCAACACCTATAGTAGTCACTTGGAGAAGAAGCTGGGGAGTTAGTATGGGAGTAAGGAGTTTTCCTTCAAATTGCATCAAACAGTACGTATAAAAATGAATAATTTGTTTAAATAATTATATGTATTTTATCCAATCAGAAATTTTAAAAAAACAACTTTATCTTGAGTTTATTAGTGAGCTTTATCAGTGGCTAGAGACTGTAGTATCAAGCTTACAAATACTCAATGGACTTTATTTTGAACACAAAGCTTTCTGATTAATTGATTAGTGGAATAATCAGAGCCTGGAATGTGACTGTTATGAAAGGCTATGAACATTTTAAAAACTAGTATGCACAAATCAAACTTGTTTTCATTTTTGTGTGAAGTATGTAAGAGAATTTTCTAGCACAAAAGCATAATAAACTCAGTCCTGAGACAGACTGCAAATACCAGTATATACAGATATTGCCCTCTCTGCAGGAGTGGAGTCTCAACTGTTGTGAAGCCACACAAAATATTGAAATAGATTTTTATTTCATACTGCAATTTTATTTCTGAAGAAATACAAAGCTCCATAAAAGAAAAATATGGCAGGACATGAATCAGCTGAGCAAAAATAATTTAGTGAACAGAAAAAATGAGACTGGTTTGGGTCTTCTTTTATTCTACCTGAAACTGCAATCATGTTTATTTTAACAACTGCCCTCTTTGGAATTCAGCGAGAGCTTCAACTGCCTTGACAGTCTGTACTCATAGAAATCTTCCACCACAACACTGATATCAAGTCAAGGCTTTACAATACTTTGAAATTATTTCAGGTCTGATTTAGAATTAATGTAATTCAAAACACAATTTTTAGTAACTTTCAAGCTCTCACTGATTTAAACTGTGACAAATGCTCTAAAGTGCTGACTGCAAATAATACATGACAAGCTAAAACTTGAGACTAAATAGGAAACAGCATTTTTAAGCTACAAGAGAAATAGACTATCTAAAAGAATCAGCATTTTATAAATAGAAATGCACTTTATAGATACTCGTTATCCCCAGCATATGAGTCTTCCCCTCAGTCCAGATCTACCACATCTTTAGATACAACGTTTTAGGAATCAAATTAATAAAATTACTCAAAACAATTCTGAAGGACCTATGAACTCAAACGAAGGTCAGTGAAAGCTGTAGAACAAGTTCTGGTGCATTTGTGCTGGTTTATGGTACAGTTCAGTGTCACAGATGATACTATCTTCATTCACTACAACATTTCAAATTTCTTTAAGGGTTAGCAGAGCAATGCCCTGTTTTGTTTTATCGTGTTAGAAGAAAACAGATGCTCGCAGGAGTAATTCCTTCTATTAATTTGTCTGCTTAAAAACACTACTTGCAAAATGCAGGTCACCAAGTATGCCCAAATCCCACTGAAGTCAGTGGAAACAGCAGACAGAAAAAAAACAGGCCACTCGGTTCCTTGAGGTTATCTTTCTGTCACCTAGAAATACATTTTGCTGTGGGGGTGATACCAGAAGAGGCTCTTAAGTATGAATAAAGAACAGGAAAGCACTTCAGAGAGACACTGGATGTATGATGGTGTGGTGCTGACTGAGAAGTGTTACTGATTTCACAGAAATAATTGACTGCTCCCTAGTAAACAGTGTTACCAGGTAATAATTTTCTCAATTTTTTGAGTCTCAAGCAGGAGTACATACGCACCGAACTTCATTTGTAAGGTTGGATGGATGACAACAGATGGACGGTTTGCTAATTGTAATTTACAGCCTCATAATTTCTATGGTAACGCCCGATTTGCCAAACAAAAAAAGTTTACAAGATAATTACTCAAGGAAAAAATTCTACATTCCTCACTCCATAATTAGGTTAATACAACATCAGGCTGTACACGTGCATTTTACTAAAGAACTACTAAAAAACATTTTCAGCATTAACTGCACCAGACACTATCCTCCAATAATAAAAGGCTTGTACCATAATTTATGCTACCAGAACCACAACTGGTAAACCAATAAGGATGCAAAGGAAAATATTTTTAAACATTAGCACACAATGTAATTAATTGGTATATTCACCACAGCCTATGATTCATTACCCTGGTTCTGACTGCTATCCTCTTATTACATTGCCAGGCTAGAGGCTAAAATTCACTATGCATAATAAAACCAGGCCATGAAGAAACTGCAAAATTCAGCAAACTACTAGAGGAAAGATTTTCAGCATAACTAATAATGAAGTTAACATATGAAAGCGAGTTGACAAAAAGTTAATCTTCTCTAGAAAGCTAAATCAAACATTCAGATCGCTTCATCTTAAACTAAATTCTGACATCTTTTTTAGCTATTTCTCCTCAACACTGTAACCCTGTTCCAGTGACTTTTCATTCATACGCCCATTCATACTGCAAGAAGAAAAACTGAAAACTACAGGAGGCCCTTTCTAGCTGTCCTCTGATGTGACTGAACTTTGAGTGGTGCTCAACACCAAAAACTCCCAGCTAAGTTCTCAGACTTGGGTCTCTCTGTAAAAGCAAAATGTTTTACAATATTCACAAGAACACCAGCAGCTCAAATGAGTAAAAGGGCAGAGTTATACATGCAGGAATGTATACTCCAGGACAGAGGTGTGCAGGATAATTTTAGGTGTACAAACCAAGTTTGCACTCCTCCCAAAAAACACCCTAAGCCCTAATACACTATTTTTTGAGTGACCAAGGAGGCCTGCAAGTCAAATAAAACACATAGTTCTTGAAAATGTCCTCTTTAAAGCCTTCTGCTGTCTCGCATAGGTTTTCCTGCCTCTCAGTTAAGTGGCCCAAGACCTCAAGTTGAGATAAAGAAGAAAGACCAGCTGGCTGAGCCGGGGTTTTCCCATGTCCAGAGCACCCCCCAGCTAACCACACTGAAACCAAACCACTCCCACCAGCTGCGGGAGGGAACAGACCTATCTTCTGAATACCAGTTTAATCCCAGGGAGGTTATTTTTGAGTTGCACTGACTCCATGTTAAAAGAGACACAGGCACAGTTTGGAATGTCCCAGTCTCACAAAACCAAGGTATGTTTTTTTTCAGACTACAGAGAGCTGTAAATCAGGACTGTATAACATTAATTGTAGAATCACAGAATCATTAAGATCATCTAGTTCCAACCCCCCTGCCAGGAGCAGGGAAACCTACCACTAGACCAGGTTGCACAAAACCTCATGCAACCTGGCCTTTATTTATGGTGACTGGTTACTTCCTGACAGCTCTGCTGCATTGTATCTGAGATGCCACCCTTCTATAAGGTCCCATGCATTGCTAGGGCCATTCCAAGAGCTATACACTGCATCACCTAAATAACAAGAAACAGCATCTCAGAAAAGACAGGAAAGGAGGCCCTTGTATGAAACACATAACAAATTTTAGGAAAACAATTTTAAAGTTGGGATACAAAGAGCACATTTATCCAACAAAGAACACCCAGAGCACAAAATCAACACCAGTAATCTTAACAAAAATCTACAGAAAACACAATCTGCAAAATCTTTAAGCAATGTTTTTCACATTACCTCAACACCAGGATTGTATGCCAGTCTTTCATGGGAGTTTATTACTCAGGTGACATTAATTGTTCTAAATAAGCCTCCCAGTTAAATGGGTTAATCACAGGTGAAACAACTAATTTCACATGAATTATAACCAGTTCTGAAAAGGGTCTGAAGTACAGGGCAGATTTCAACTTGGAAGTTGCAGTGAGGGCTAGAGCCAGTAGAGCAAAAAGATTAAGGTAAGGGCAGAGAAATAAAATGGAGAACCTAATATCAGATGCTGATCTGAGGTAAGATGGTAGGGCAGGGAGAGCAAAAGGAAAGAGAAATCCAGAGAAAAAGGGGAAGAATTCTACTGGTGCTCAAGTCTAGATTTTTGTGGTTATGCAAGTAAAACTACACAGAATTTAGTAATAACTTGCTGGTTCAAAAGGTATTTTTATTATTTAATAATAGTTCTTAGCATTCATATTGACTACTATTTTTAAAACTTCTTGAGTTGCAAATTAGTGTAAAATCTGAACATCAAACCTGTCAGGACCATTAAGAGATCACAGTCCAAAATTATAGTCCAGACAAAGACATTAGCACCCCACAATATAGATCTTAATGTATTTTTTGTTGACACTATGCATTTTATTTTATTTTTTTCCAGTTTCCTAATGAAGTAACAACACTAGTTATGTTACACAGTTTCACTACTAAATGCGTTTCCTTTTAAAGAAGAGGAGTGGAGCTATTATATACCAGGTGAAAAATGAAGCCTTCAGCTTTGCTTAAACTGAAATATAACCTCATATATTACACCAGCACTTTCAGGTAACAATGAACAATCCATCAAAAAACACAACCTAAAACTTTCCTTTGCTACACTTCAGTATAATGGAAACAGTAAATGCCAGCTGGCCTTTTGATCGTGAGATTTACAAAGAGGAATGCCTTTCAGAACAGAATTTTTAAAGACTTAAGTTTTCCATCCCAGTACACACACTCAGCAGGCAGCACCCACTTTAAAGTACACTGTTTAAAATTATTACCTCCATACAAATAATTTGCACAGCATTCCACCTGCTCCAGTTTCACTATTCCCTGTGCTTTTATTGCTCCACACAATACCTTAAAACCAACCTGGTTATTTTTTTAAGAGCTTTTGTAAGGCAGTGACTTGTGCAGTTTGTCTTTCACCTTTGAGGTTAGAACCGTAGCCTCTTTGGATAGCACCAACCGTGTGTACAGTTAGTGCTTGTATCTTTGCTCTGGAAACAGGATGATCAAAATGCCCTATGACAGCATACAGGGTGCATAACTAATCTTTTGTATTTGGATATCAACAAATATACAGTGGGGTTTGGGTTTCTTTTTGGTTGGGGGGAGGTTGCTGGCTTTTTTAAAGAAATACAGTAAGTCCCCCTACTTAGGAAATTAGGAAGGGTCAACAAACATCTAGTGTATCTCACTAGTTCTTCTAGTCATCTACATAGTTTCAGCTTTCCAAAGTTGTGGTTTTGTTGTGTTGTGTGTGTTTTTTTTCCAAAAGTCCTATTTTCATCAATTATTTTATTGGAAATTAACTGTATATTTATTTTTCAAGCCTCATTAGATCTGCCTCCTGTTCCGGGGGTGCTGGGTGCAGCAGCAGGGCACACAGGCAGGCACACAGCTGGCTGGCTGACCAGTCAGCCGGTGCGCTGCAGCCCCTCGCCGGGCACGGGCACTGGCAGCACACGGGCCGAGTCTCGGCTTTGCAAACACCCACGCCAAACTTTCGGCAAAGCAGGAGCCGAACGCCCCCCC